GATTAGCGAAACATTCTCCTTTAAAAAAACATTTTCTTCTCTACTAATCCAAGGCAATTGAATTTATTCTGTTTGCATTTGAACATTACAGCTAATTCTTGGAAGTGTTTAATTTGGGATTTCCTTTTTAAGAATGACTTTCAATTGAATGGATTAAAAATGACCTATTTAAAAGGAGAAACGCACGTTGGCATAAATTGGTAATTGAAGATGAGAAGACTTTTTTTATTTCCTCCAATCTGAACGGCCTTTATCCACAAATGCCAACATTGGGAGATTAATACAACCTTCATGCTTATCACTCTTTAATATAATACGTCACAAATTTTAATTAATGTATTTTATTAGACTATGTGTAATCTTTTTTAACACATCAAAACTATTTCTTAGATAGGGTGTCATTTTTGGATGGCCCGGCTTAATTTCTCTTGAACCAATGACGCTTTCAATAAAATAAAAAATACGTACTTAATACTTTTTAGTCTAGTTTCAAATGATTATCTTTTTTGAAGAAAAATTACATACGGTACTCCAGGAACATCCTGGCACATCATTTTAAAGAAAGTTCTATGCTGAAAACAATGGTCCAATCGGATTTTAAATTGGACACAAATTAACAAAGTTATAGCAAAACGTTTGAAGCAAAAAAGTCATTTGGTTTGCTATTTAAACCATTTCATGGTCAAACTGCCTTCCTTGCCAAAAAATGGATTGAAATTGATTGAGGAGATGGATTGACATTTTATATCCATTACGGCAGCTCTTTAACTAAGGTTGCTGGGTTATGATTGGCGTAGGCGTTATCATAGAAAATAGTCAAGTGGAGTTAAATCGGGTGACCGAGGAGGCCAACTGAAAGGCCATGAAGCCCTTATCCCGGAAGTGATGCATCCATCAAGCTGGAGAATCATTGTTTGTCGTTGTTGCAGAGGAACTACATCTAATAGTGTTGGTAAAACCTCCCTCAAAAATTTGAGGAAATGAGCACCATTTAAATTATTTTCGTAAAAATAAGGCCCTATTAATTTATTTCCGAGAAGTCCACACCAAACTGCTGTGAATCGCCTGATGATGAAAAGGTACGAAATTCTCGGATTTTCCTCTGCTCACGTTCCCAAATTGTAACAGTTTAGTATGCCATTAGAAGTGAACTTGGATTCATTAGACCATAAGATGTATGGAAGAACGTTTCCTTCAGGCGCCCAAATCGACATTTGTGCAAGGAACGCAGACGCCTATCATAAAGAAAGTTCCTAAGTCCTTGGACATGATGAGAGCAATACAGCTTAAAATTGTAAGTCCGGAGTACATCTCTAATTTCATTTTTTGAAAAATCTAAAACCCTTCCTACATTTCGGAGAGAGGAATTCGGATTTTAGTGAACATACAGTAAAATATCAGCTCTTCGTCGAAATTACGCTGCCGGTATCTTGGTGATGGAACGGCAACTGATCCATATCTCTATTTTGCGAGCTACACGAATTTTGTTGTTTACTCTGGGGCGATCAGGAAATTTTTGGGAGTACAACTCGACTCGGATTTTCCTCTACCCATGTTCGAAAACTGTAACGGTTTAGTATGCCATCAGAAGTGAGCTTGGATTCGTCAGTCCATTGGATGTATGGAAGAACGTTTCCTTAGGCCTCCCAAATCCCAAGGAACGTTGGACGCCTGTCTCGAAGTCCCTGGATAAGATGAGATGATACGGCTTAAAATTGTAAGTCCGGAGTACATCTTTAATTTTATTTTTAAAAAACCTAAAACCATCCCAACATTCAGGAGAAAGGAATTCGGATTTTAATGAACATAGGTAAAATATTCAGCCATTCATATGGTGGAGCAGCAACTGAACCGTATCTCCTCATATTGCGAGAAACACGAATAAAAGTTTTGTGATTTACTCTAGGGCGATGAGGAAATTTCTGGAAGTACAACTCGACTGCACGACGCGCAGTACAGCGACTATAATAAAGCAGTCATACATATAAACTCGTTGTTGATTTTAAAAAAGTGCTCTTCGGTTCATTTTGAATGGAATACTTAATATAACGAATAGGTACCATTCTAAAATTTATTTACTCCCAGGAATTAAGATTTGCTCTCATAATGCGATTTTGACAAACAATACAGAATGTGAACAATAAAGTCAATGTTACTTTAGTGAAGAAGCAAATTATTGGAATTAACGACAACCTCTTACCTGAACACAGTGTTCACCACATATGTCAACATAATAACATAATAACATATTACTTATTCACAACTTATCAATGAATATTTACATTCACCGATTCCATTATCCCTCCCTCCAAAAGCTTTTTCACCTTCTGACGTTCATTCTATCATACAACACCTAAAATCCAAGAAAGCTCCAGGTTTTGATCTTATTACTCCAAAAATTCTCCAACACCTTCCCAAAAAGGCCATCATATTCATTAAATACCTATTTAATTCTGTTCTTCGTACAACCTACTTCCCTACAGCTTGGAAGCACTCGTATATTCGAATGTTCCCTAAACCAAAAAAGCCAACACATTGTACTACTTCATATAGGACAATAAGTCTACTACCTAATTTGGGTAAAATTTTAGAAAAACTCCTACTGAAAAGAATTCTTCCGATTCTAAATTCTCAAAACCTAATCCCAGACCATCAATTTGGTTTTCGCAACCGCCACTCAACTGTCCAGCAGAGTCACCGCGTGGTAGACATTATTTCATCCTCCCTTGAGATGGGACAGTACTGTTCTGGAGCCTTTCTTGACGTAAGCCAAGCTTTTGATCGAGTTTGGCACTCGGGCCTGCTGTTCATGCTCAAGGGCATCCTTCCATCCACCTACTATTGCATACTGCACAGCTACTTCACTGACCGATTCTTCCAAGTCATCGAAGGACATTCCCTCTCTTCATATTTTCCTATCCATGCTGGTGTTCCTCAGGGTAGCGTTCTGGCCCCTACACTGTACCAGGTTTTCACAGCTGACATGCCATCTCATCCCGAAACCACCACATTCACATTTTCAGACGATACAGCAATTCTCTTTAACAACTCCGACCTTGTCATTTCCACTCGAAACCTCCAACAACACCTCATACTACTAGAGTCTTGGTTTAAAAAGAAAAGGATAAAATTTAACACTGACAAATCCACCCACATTACTTTCACTCGTAAAAAGATCTCCCCCCCCCCTGTTTTCTTAAACCATATTCCCCTCCCAACTGCGGACAACGTGCGGTATCTCGGATTGTACATCGACAAACACCTGACGTGGAATCCTCACACAAGACTGAAACGTCAGGAGGTTATCACACGATTTAGAGTTCTTGCACGACTTCTTGACAAACGCTCTAATTTACCTCTCAAAACTAAAAAGCTGCTTTACAACACCATAGTTAAGCCGATTTGGACTTACGGACTGGAAGTGTGAGGTTCAGCCAAACATTCCAATATCCACCGCATTCAAACTGCCCAGTCTATAATACTACGAAAAATACTAGATGCTCCATTTTATGAATCGAACCAAACTACACATACAGATTTACATATTCCTTTGAGATGAAATACGTTTCCGTTACCGTAAATTTCATAAAAACCTCGGAACTAATGTAAACCAACACATCAGAAACCTCGCATCCCGACGAATCCCCTCAAACCCTCCTCGCCGATTGAAGAGACAATGGCCGCGAGATCTCCTTGGAAGTGATGGTGATGACAGTGAAAGTGATAATGACACACGTATCAATTGAAACAACAATATTATTGTAACGTTGGAGTAATACCAATGGGCGTTTTCTCCACTCTTGGTTTAATTTTGTTTTGTCATAATTTTGTCATTTTTTGACCTATTTAAAATCCGATTGCAACATGGTTGTTTTCAGAGTAAAACATTCTTTAAAATGATGTGTCAGGATGTCTAGTGTCGTATGTTGAATTTTAACGAAGAACTGGGCCTGAGATACCCAGGTTTTTCTAAAAACAAAAGGTAAACCTTTGAAACTAGACTAAAAAATATTAAAGGCTTTTTTTTATTTTTTGATAGCGTCATTAGTTCAAGGGAAATTCAGCCGGGCTAGCGAAAAAAGACACCCTGTATTCAAAAATTCAAGCGTAATTTTTATTATGCTTTGTAATTTCATACTCGCAAACCATTGTCTGGTTTGCACCAGCCATACTTAAAATCGAATAATTGAAGCATAAATAAATTTCAAGTACACCCAATCTTGTCATTCTGCGGTTTGTGAAGGGTCGGGTTTACATTGAACCAATGCTATTTGTGTTAACGACGTCATTATCCCATGAAAGTCTAAGGAAAATTTAATTATTCAATTTTAATATTGTTAATAAAGCAAAAATATATTTATAAATTAATTTTATTTTAATACTCTACGTGTGATGCCAAAACAAGACTTAATTTGTATTGAATTATCTGCAGAGCAAACTTTACTGTGGCAGGTGTAATTTACATACATTTAATTGATGACTTCAAACCTTTGTCATGGACTCATAAACAAAAGAAAAAATAAATTTAAAAATTCACATTTTTGGCACTGAAGTAAACAAAATATATGTGTTTTACTAATATTTAGTTTCTAGACTTGCAGGGTTGTACATCAGAAGCTAATCAAATAGTAATTTTATGAACAAACAATATAGTACATAAAGGAGAAAGAATTAGATATCCATCGAACATCGGTTGTTTCAAAGCTTTAATAAATTTTTAAAAAGTGTTGTCTAATTCTTCTAACAGAGAGGCGATTGTTCAAACTCCCTTTATAACATCACTGACCCAACAGAAATCCGGCTGTCGAGCGCTGTTTAAATTCCTAGCACGTATCCTTTCCACAGGTCGCATAGAATCTCGTATCAGATCAGTATTTCCTACTCATTTCAAACAGGCCCGTTTCAAATGCTTTCTTTGGCAATTTAGCTAATGTATTTTACGTTTACTTATATTTTCGTCCTAATCGGATCATAAATTAAAACGGTGTATTCTGCCTTACCTTTGATCCTTTCAACGCATCAGCCACCTGAAAAAATAGACATGATTAATTTAAATGTTTGTCTACTTTCTAAAACATATTTCTGTAATAACGACAACAATAATCATATATTTAGATTATCACACAGGTTTCATAAATTTCAAAATTGAATACATTTCGAAAATATTTGGTGAATATAACTGCATTTAGGCTAATTTTTGGTTCAATCCCAAGAAGTTACATTTTTGTAGTAGATGATAAGTATATGCTAACAAATACTATTAGTGTTCTGATTCTTGGAGGAAACGGGGTGGTTCTATTGTATATAGTAATAATAGTCTGTATACCAAGTTTGTGTTGAGAGTGACTGCATTTTTAGCGTGAATGTGAGAGGATTAATGGCGGAATATCGAGTACTCCATCGACTTAATTGAATGAATCGTATGAAAATAAAAGTGATGTATTTAAGAATGAACGTGAGTAAGAATGGGTTTTGAACCGCATGCGTTGGGTGCTGAATTGATTTAGCTGTTGACAGCACCCCTCCCCTAAGCACAACCTTCCTGGACGGAAAAGACTGAGGTCTACCCCCGGACAGCCAACCCACGGGGTGGGTGATTCTCGAGTCTACCGGCAGTTTACTGGAATTTACAATAACTGGAACCTAAGCGAAGCGAATAGGCTCAACTCGGCACATGTTTGTACGTGTACATATGCGGATTTGAGCCTTTGTACATTCAAACCCAATCCAACTATTACGGCACTCTTTTCATATTTAGATTACTGATTGCTGCTTTATATCAGTTCAAAACTGTTCAACCCACCGCGAGCGCACTGATTGTGAAGAGTGTGTGTTTGTGATTGAGGATCCCAATCCGACCTGCGGGATTTATTTTCTGCGGACTCGGATTCAACCCCCCGAGGCGACTGGCTGGGATACGGCCGACTAGTTCGGCTTTTGAACGGCCATCTCGCCTCACCCACCCTGGGAGTCATGGCCCACTCTATGTGGAACCACGGCGACAACGGGTGGTATAATGTGGTTGAGACTCGAAACCCCGAAACGGCTCACCTCGTGTTCTCTTCCACGGCCCCTTTTTCTCAATCCGAACTCCTTCATTCTATCCTGTGACCCCTCCTAACCCTTGGTTACAAGGGGGGTATCCGGGCACAAAATAATGGTGCAGCCCAGAGGGCGTGGCAACCTCTCTAAAGCACAAGCTGTCTTATGTCGGCCTGAGGGTCGGCAGGGGCGGCGGGTGCCTTAGCAGAGTCACACGAGGGCCAGTGCACCAGATCCTGTCTGTAAATACGGGGGAGGGTTGTATGGCCATCTGCACCACGGGGTGACTGAACTGTTCCAAAATCCGGCCCGAGTCACGTTGGGAACGGATTCGTGGTGGCTTGTGGCGACGCCCCTGGCTGGAACTTAGAAGCTGTCTTCTATCTGGGACCTTTCGTGAAGCTTGTGTATGGCCAACGTATTACCCCCCGTTCCTCACGGGAGACGTTGCGACCGGACGACAGCATGTAAGCGTTGAGGACGTCATGATCATGCTACAGTCCCTCGAATGCGTAAGTAAGCGATTGGAAAAGGGTAGTGAGTCGGCGTCTTTGACTCGAGTATGCTTTGCATTGTTGTGCGTATGACCGGCGTGGTACCCTTGGGGAAGCGAAGGATCGGACCACCTAGGCTAGACCTATGGCGTCCCTCGAATGCGTGCAGCAGGTGTAGGCTGAGCTCGATAAGAGACTTTTTACCGTAGACAGTGCTCATCTAGGGGGTGGGTAGCAATCCCACTCTAAACTAAAACCGCTCTCGGGGCGTTCCCGAAAGTTTCGACGCTAGAGGAGCCTCTACACTCAGAAAGATAGAGTCGCCTTCTCTATCGAGCGAGTATGCGAGGGGGGGACGGACTGATGTATTTCGGCCCGTTAACCCCTCGCGTGCGGCGTACGACCCGACGCACAATGCGGGCCCGACCATTCGGAGTGGACAAGCGGAGAGCGTGGCTACCGACCCTTCGGGGCCGGGACACCACTACACCAACGCTGCGGCGGTAACACTTTTCCGTCGTATGTGGAGGTGCGTCAGCTCTCATCTTGAGAATGAAAACGTCCGATAAGGCCATGAGCGAGGTGCGGACGTTAAAGATCCTCTTGTCTTGTTGACGATGAGTAATCGGGAACCGAAAAAGTTCAAAACTGCACACGCGTGTAAAGATTTAAACCTGACACTTCTCGCAGTCCACCGACAATTCCAGCTTTTGTAATTTACAATGAATTACCGGCAAGCCTCTGGAATCGCACACCCCAGCAGCAGTCCGTCATATCCGTCACAGTGGTTGAACTCCCTAGTTAACAACTAGGTCATTTCAGCACCTCACGAAATCACTTCCAATATCCAAACCCATTTACATCCTCACTCACTCTTCATACCAATTACTGGTTTAGGGTGATGGAATCACTGTACTACTAGAATACTAGATTATTATATAACAAACATAATTGAGGGTTGATGGGTACTCAATATTCTGCCATCGACCCTCTCACATTACACATTCATGCTAATCAATACATTCACTCTCAACATTCTATAGGAAAATTATGATTAAAAATTATAATTATGTCACGTTAAAAATTATAATTAACTAATTATGATAATTACCTGTAAACAGCCCACTTTCTTTCACTAATCGGAACAGAGCGTCCAGATTCTCCGATCTCAAACACGATTCTCAAATCGGGTAGTATTCCTACGCGCTCTTTATATGGAGCCAAGGAATTGTACCCTCTACGTCGGACACCTTTCTCTGCGTGCCGGTCTCATATGAAGATTTTGGCCCCAATATAAGTGTCCGTGTGTCAACCTCGCTTGAAAATCCTATATTTGGATTGTCTTACAAAAATATTGTTTCAATTTACAATTGCTTAATTGTACGGAAGAACGTTTTATGGAATAATCTCAAATCTGGGAATGGATGGTCCGCCTATCCTCGTCATTGTTTAGCCGTAGGACTTATTTCGCCATTAGAAACCAACCAATCTTAAGTTGATGAAGTTAGGTCTCGAATTCGAAGATGACAGTAATGCAGCTCATTAACACATAGAAAATGCGGACCGCAAATGATCATTTTGGGCCAACTTGTCAAATACGAATTACTTAAATTATACTCGATGTATATAAAAATCTATAAAGTTTAGAAAATCAATCGATATATTATTGGCTTGAATGATTTGAATTTCGAATTTTTCAAAAATCAGATTTCATTTGAGGACAACACATAATCAGGGGGAGTTCTGTACCAAAAACGTTCATCTTCAGATCGATCCAACGTCCTGAGAAGCTTTGAAAGCTTTCGTGCTTTGCTGTCAGAAAATCAATTAAATATTATTAATTATTAAATGTGTTTTTCAAACAAAAGGAGGTTCAAAAAAATATTAAATACAGAGATTGAGAATTATATTTACATATACTTGTTGTGTATATTGTTACTGTAGGGAAATTGAAAATTTAGAAAAACAAGTTTGAAGTTTAACACAAATCACAGATCACTTCGTATGACCTGTGATAAGACGTCGTATGAATAATTTGACTTGTAAGCTTTCGTGCTTTGTTGCAAAATAATGGATGATATTAAGACATTTGGCGTCTCATTTTTGCAAAAACTCGCGGTAAAAAATAGTTGCCTTTACCATATTCTTCATGAAAGATAAATAAACAGTATGGCTAGAAACCGTTCAGGCTTCTTTTAGGATTACAAGTTCCAACTTAACAATATACATTTTATTAGCCGTAGAGAAAAAAAATGAGGTTGAGAGTGTATGTTGGATGATGATGATGATGATTGTAAGGATAATATTCAACCATGCAAAGTTAGGGATCGGGTACCTTTCTAACAGTAAGCTTAGATGTTATTAAGATAGAAAAAGAGAATAAGAGAAAAGATAAACGTAAGATAAACTACACATTCAATTAATTACGGTTTTAAGTTGAGATAAAAAAGTCATTGTCACGAGCGGGATTCGAACCCACAACCTTCGGCTTGATACGCCGCTACTCTATCACTTGAACTAGAGCTAGCTTTTTTTATCTCAACTTAAAACCGTAATTAATTGAACGATATTAATTGGTCAAGCGTACCACGAAAAATAGTGAATAAACTATACAATTACTCAATAGCCGCAACATATATTCCTATTATTCAAGCCATGAAAAATTATTAAAAAAATGAAAAAATATAAAATTTTAAGTGTTAAGACTCAAGTTATTCTTATAATAACAAACAAAATTTTAATAAATCTCTGCGTTTTAATCGTTTACAAATAATAACATAATTCGTTAAGCACTGAAAAAAAAACACCAAAAAGAGAGTAAGAATGAGAAGGAGAGAGAGAGAGAGAGAGAGAGAGAGAGAGAGAGAGAGAGAGAGCTACTCACACCCAAATACTATAACATACCTTATATATTATAAATAACATATCTAGCATTAGAAATTAACTATGTAGGTTATTACTAATGAAACCTGATAAGATAGATTTTATTTTAGAAATACAAGTAATAGTGAGTAACTTGGCAGTAATAACTAGTTAAGATGTTTGTAATTCTTTAACCATTGAAATGTTAAAATCAAAATAAGTGTAATATTGGCAGGTACTTTTCCAGCAACGTTTAACAAACAAAGAAGTAAAAAATGATCGGTTGATCATAGAGTTCACGGTTATATCTGATAGAAATTATATCGTTTTCTCGTCTAAATTGTAAGGAATGCGAAAGCGCAATATTGTCGACCTACGTATGACATGCAAAACAGAGTGAATGAAAAAAAAAACCGCTGAGCTTTAAAGTCACGCGAGTGAGAACGTCACGCCAACTCTAATCAGTACGCGGCGGAACATTAACAGCTTTCCCTTCTTAAAGTGCCTTTTCGAACAACTAACTACATTATAAAAGTTCGAAAAGTAAATAGTTTAACAGGTTTTAAATGAGTTACTAAGTCTGGCGTGACTGATTTTTCAACAATAACCTAAAGCCATCACAAAGCTGA